TTTTTTTTTTTTAGCGTTTATGTACTTGTTTTGTTTGGTAACTACAGATCCCAGTCAAGTGGCCTAAAAGCAGAGACGAGGTCTGGAAGGCAAACATTCCTCACACTCACCTCGCTCACGAGAAGTCCGACCAGAACTGGATGGTTGTCAAGGGCGACAAGATTCATTTTCCTGGAGGTGGGACCCACTTTCATTACGGAGCAGACAAGTACATTGCTTCGATTGCGAATGTAAGTTTCTGTTTCCTCTTGTATCAACAATTGCATTCGAGAACCTGATAACAGTGAGAGTTGAAAAGTATATTATCTTGCACGATATGAATGATTGGATTTTGAGTAGAGATCGTATGGAAAGTTCACTGCATTTACTTCGATGGACTTGAAATCCTGAGCTGTTTCAATCCATTCACCTTAATGCAATTCTGATAAACCCAACCAAATCGACCTGAAATGTAATTTTCTTTTTTCCAGCTGATATAAAATACGCTTGTACCAAATTGATTGGAATATTGGATTTGCCCCATTAGACGTCCCCTAAAACTAAATCTCAATAACTTGTAAATAAACCCCCCAAAAAAAATAAAAATAAAAATAAAAACAATCTGAAAAAATATAAATCTTAAATTGCATGAAAAACTAGAAAATGTAGACAGTGAGACACCATAAAAATTGGAAAAAAGAATGAAAAAAAAAAAATGAAAAAAATGCATGCTCCATTCCAGTTTTTAAATAATCTCTCCAATGCTTGCAGATGCTCAACTTCTCGAACAACAACCTGAACAACAAAGGCCGACTCCGGACAGTGTTTGATGTTGGGTGTGGGGTTGCCAGCTTCGGTGGCTACCTACTGTCGTCTGACATTGTGGCTATGTCGCTGGCCCCTAACGATGTTCACCAGAACCAGATCCAGTTCGCTCTCGAGCGCGGAATCCCTGCCTACCTTGGGGTCTTGGGCACTAAGCGGCTACCCTACCCCAGCCGGTCATTCGAGCTGGCCCACTGTTCCCGCTGCAGGATAGACTGGCTCCAGAGGGACGGTATCCTTCTTATGGAGCTCGACCGGCTTCTGAGGCCAGGTGGCTACTTTGCGTACTCGTCTCCCGAAGCATATGCCCAAGATGAGGAGGACCTCAGGATATGGAGAGAGATGAGTGGTCTTGTCGAGCGCATGTGCTGGAGGATTGCAGCTAAGAGGAACCAGACTGTTATCTGGCAGAAGCCACTCACCAATGACTGTTACCTGGGGAGGGAGGCCGGGGCTCAGCCGCCCATGTGCCGACCGGATGACGATCCGGATGCTGTCTGGGGCGTGCAGATGGAGGCATGCATCACACCTTATTCTGAACGTAAGTGTTCTTTTTTTTTTGGTTGACGTGTTGTGATGGATTTCTTGAATTTAAGAGGGAAGAAGTTTGCCCAGGGGATGTATACTGCAGTTACAAATGTATTCTGAGTGTCTTTAATCCATCCAATAAATTGATGATTTATTTATCACCAGATGATCACAAAGCAAAAGGCAGTGGAATTGCACCATGGCCCGAGCGTTTAACTTCACCTCCCCCACGTCTTGCTGATTTCGGCTATTCGAGTGAAATGTTCGAGAAAGACACGGTAATTTGGGAAATATAGTCAAATAACTTTTGTTCTTTTATTTATTTTGGTAGGTGATATCGTTGATAAGAACCAAGATGAGTAACTTTTTTTTTTTTTTTTGAATTTTGACTGACATGCAGGAACTATGGAGGCAGAGGGTTGATCATTACTGGAATCTCTTGAGTCCGAAGATTAGGCCTGACACAATAAGGAACGTAATGGATATGAAGGCACATTTGGGATCGTTTGCTGCTGCTTTGAAAGACAAAGACGTGTGGGTGATGAATGTTGTGCCTGAAGATGGGCCCAACACGCTCAAGATCATTTACGACAGGGGCTTGATTGGCTCCATTCATAACTGGTACGTTTCTTTACTTCCACTCTTGGCTGAAAAGATCCAGTCTAAAAACCCCACATTGTTTTCATAGTAATAATTTTTATTTTCGCGGAAGTGTACCCGTAGGTTTGGCCTAATTACTAAATGAAGTCTGTTATCTCTAAGCATACAACTCTTCTTTTGAAAGATAAAAATATTCTACCAGAGCTTTGGTAGCTAAAAATTCAAAAAGGGACCCTAAAAACAGAAAAAGTTAAAAACTGGAGGAAAAATCTGAAATGATTAATTAAGCACCTGACAGAAAAACCTTCAAAATAAAATAGAAAAAAGGAACTGAGAAATCCAAATTCGGATCCCGTCTCATATGACACGAGTTATTAAAGTTGACATGAGATTTGTCGTGTACTTTCAGGTGTGAAGCTTACTCGACATACCCGAGGACTTACGATTTGCTGCACGCATGGACTGTGTTTTCCGATATCGAGAGAAAGGGTTGTGGTGGTGAGGATTTACTTTTGGAGATGGACCGTATTCTCAGGCCGACGGGTTTTATTATCATCCGGGACAAACGGCCGGTTATCGATTTCGTGAAGAAATATTTGCCGGCATTGCACTGGGAAGCTGTGGCGACATCTGATTCGTCCTCTGAAAACGGACAAGACAACGATGAAATAGTCTTGGTCGCCCAAAAGAAATTATGGCTGACGAGCGAGAGCTTCAGGGACACGGAATAAATGTTCATTTTACTTAAACAGTTGTCAATTTCTTTCACGAGTTTGATGATCTATAGGGTGCATCTCCAGAAAATAATGAGTAAAAATGGTTATGTTTCTTAGACGATGGCAAATTTTATTTTACTTTTACTTGTGTTTTCCTGTTCTGATTTATTTGGTTTTAGCAGATGATTCATTAACGGGGCTTTTCTTTATATAGGGCTATACTAGAAAGTTTACGGCTGTGTTTAACACAGCCGGCCCATATGATTTTATTTT